TATTTCATCATTAACAATTGTAATACCACTCATTAAGTACATCATTTATGGCTAAAAACATTGGAAAGTTTGACTGAAGCTTCGCGTAACTACATACTTAGTTCTACTAGTAGGCCTTTTAATTATATCCATATTAATATAAAGGTTCATTCAATGGCTATTACTTGAGTTGGACTCTTCTAGCCACTAAAGATCCAAATGTTTAAATATCAAACTGGTTTGTTTCTAACATTAAACTTTGGAAAGTTGCTGAAAGTAGATTAATAAATTATTAATGATTTTTATAATATTTAGTTATTAAAGCTTATAAATTACGATTAACTACAAATATAGATAGTAAACTGTTGTAACCTTGAAAAAATCATGCTCAGTAAGACGACTGAAACATGCTGCAAAGAATGGATAAATTTTAAGGAGAATTTCTAGGTTCAAAACTTTCTAATTTAATAAATGAATCAGAGTAAATCAAACAAATTTGAAAGAATTTCTTTATTCTTTGGGTTCAGAAGAGTATCAAATTCAAGTAATTTACTTCAAATGTAGCAAGGTAGTTTCTTTGTCATCTAGTATGTATATTTTTGAAGTACTCCTTAGTGAATAGATTTTTTCCCGTTATCTATAGGTTGCTATGATGACAGTTGGTCTATGGTTTATGGCCTGGACTCCTTATTTGATCATCCGCTTGGGCTGGTGTCTTTTCAAGTGGAACACGTCTCACTCCCCTAGCCACGATTTGGGGTTCTGTATTTGCTAAGGCAAATTCTTGTTACAACCCCATCGTGTATGGTATCAGTCATCCAAGATATAAGACTGCCCTCTACCAGAGGTTCCCATCTTTGGCTTGTGGATCAGGTGAATCCGGAAGTGACGTCAAATCAGAAGCTTCTGCTACAACGACGATGGAAGAAAAGCCAAAAAATCCCGAAGCATAACTTCTACTCACGTTCTTGGTCGTTGTATTTTTCGTTTTTGTTTTGTTTTCTTTGATTTCAATAATTTTATACTGTTGTATGAACACCCTTAAGACAAAGAATAAAATATCCAGCATTATACATTGTGTTTTGTGCTGTTTTTAATTTTGAAAGGACAGATATTATTTATATTCGAATAATGAAGTGTTATTGTATTTTGTAGTATTAATACAGCATTGTGAATTTCTCTACCTAGATAATATAGGTTCTATGTTGTTAATTTGAATAGTTTTCGAATCTTAAGCATTACAACGTCATTTAGAATTCGTGTTTTATTCTTTCTAAAAACAACTGTACACATTTTAGTTCTTGAAAACGGTAATCTTTCTAGCCATTGATAATGGTTCTTGCTCTTAAATAATGATTAGCTTTAAAAATAATTTAATGTCCTGATAACACACATATTTAACTTTAAATGCGGAATCTGTACTATACGAAATGTTTTACCTATTAACTTTTTTAATATAGTTTTAACATCAAACAAAAACAGTACTATTTTGTAAAATACTCATTTTTCAATATTGTCTTAACATTGAATTTAGACTTGGCTATTAGATAAATTTAATTAAACAATGGAGTTTTACTTACTTATCATTACGGTACTGTCTTCCTATTAAACCACTCTACACACTTTACTGTTGCTTACTCCTTATTTCTCTACTGTCTTGTTACTGGACAACTTCTAACACTGAAATGTTAGTGATTATATACACACTTTTTAGCTGTTAAACAACCCTTAGTACTGTAAAATAATATTCTAACGTTATAGTATAGTCATTATATTAAAACCCTAACGGATAACATAACACGCTATTTGAATATCATTTCACCACATAAGCTTTTCATTCAGTTACCTGATTCTTAGACGTATGAAGGACATTCAATTAGTAAAAAAACTTATTCATCATAACCTTTCTATTGTACTGTTAAACAAAGCGCAACACTGTACTGTTACTTATTTCATTTACCTTCATGTTATGCAGTTATTTATGTTGCTACTGGGCTGATGACTGCTCTTCGTCAGAGGCACAGAACGAACAAAGAACACTTGGATTCAACGTTACATAACTTACCTTAAAAGTCAAATAATACATTAAAAAGTGCAGAATATGATACCTTATCTTAAAACAGTTATGGAGCAACGCCACGTTGTTACAGCTCATATCCCGTCATGCCCTATCTGAAAACAGTGTTGTTCCCATTGCAGAAGAGTTTCTAAATGCCCGTTTCAACATCCCAATCTCCAGTGACGTGCACAGGGGGGTAGTTGGGTGTGCCGAAGCCCCTGCACTTAAACCCCAAAAGTGCCCTTTTTCTCAGTCATAAAACATTCTCAACACATTTTATTATTACTTACTTCTCATTTCTCTAAAGTCTTGTTACTGGACAACTTCCAACATATAAATGCATGATGTGATTTTTTTGCTTATGTTAGAGGTTTGTCAGCTTGGGCACAGAAGAGCGACATTAGAAGTGAGTCATCACATATAAATTCTAGTGGGCCAGTCAATTAATAAGCTAAAAGCGAATCAGTCAGTTTTTTGTTTTTGTTTTCTGTAGTAGAGTGCTTGTGAAGTATTCAGTGTCATTGAAGCATTCGATCAAGTTAGTTATCGTGTGTATTCAGTTACACGATCTATTAGCCATGAAATTATACCGGTAAGTTTATTTTTACGTTATTTTTAATACAATTAGAGAGGTATTTCTGTTTGAGCGTAATTTGATAACTTAGATCTACAAGTTACAATATAATAAAAGTGAAGTGTAGAAACTTTAAGTAAAAATAAACTAGTTTGTTATCGTACGCAGACTTGACCTCACATTATTTTCACCTAATAAGTTGAAAGAAATCGAGTAAGGAAGAAACATCGTTACAATAATATATCAACATATACCACTCATGAAAGCATAATATGATTTTTTTTCGCTTACGTTTAAAATATAAATATATTTTTTCATTACTCTACTGTTTATTTTTGCCCCCCCCCCCAATGGTACAGCGATATGTCTGCAGACTTATACCACTAGAAACCGGGTTTCGATACCCGTGGTAGGCAGAGTACAGATAGCCCTATGTGTAGCTTTGTGCTTAATAACAATAACAACAACTGCTTATTTTTGACTTTGTAAAAACGTGATTCAGCGTGTTCTATACTTTAGAAAGGGCGATAGTATGTTAGTTTACCATATTCCAAAACTAATTTCAGCTTTTGAAACTAGCTTGCGAAACACTGAAATTTGATTCAACTTTATTTTATATCGTAGATAGTTAATACTTTAAATTCTGTTCCCAAAATATTAATAGTTTTTGGATAAAAATGCTGTTTACGTAAAAACGTTGTATTAATTTTCTACATTTTTTTAGAAAGAAAAAGCAATAAATTCAGAACTTATGTTTCTCAATGAATGTTACTTACATCATTGTTGATGTTTCTTAATGAATGTAGCTTACACCATTGTTGATGTTTCTTAATGAATGTAACTTACATCATTGTTGATGTTTCTCAGTGAATGTAACTTACATCATTGTTGATGTTTCTCAATGAATGTTACTTACATCATTGTTGATGTCTCTTAATGAATGTAACTTACATCATTGTTGATGTTTCTCAATGAATGTTACTTACATCATTGTTGATGTTTCTTAATGAATGTAGCTTACACCATTGTTGATGTTTCTTAATGAATGTAACTTACATCATTGTTGATGTTTCTCAGTGAATGTAACTTACATCATTGTTGATGTTTCTTAATGAATGTAACTTACATCATTGTTGTGCGTTCGAGTATTGTAAGCCTTCTGGACTCAAAATGTCTTTGCAACCTTGTAATGTGTAGTGAAGAAAAACAGAATTAGGATATAAAGAACTTTTGTTAATGATAAAGATAAAACCCGAAATCAATAAGCACTCATGCAACCGAAGTTTTGGACAATAGTGCTAGTCTAAATTGGACTAATTTTCTGTTCTATCTTACTATCGGCTGATGTTTTTATAATCTGACATTTTGGTATTCGAAACTTTCTATTTTATTTATACTTATCACCAATCTTACAATGAGACACCTTTCCTACGTTCAGGGACATAAGAATTGAATGTTTGGCTTGAACTAATAAAGTAAATCAAGAACTTATATTTATATGCATAATTTATTTTACGCATTAATTAATTTACACCTATTTTATTCCACATTACAGAAATGGTGTTACAATTACTTTCCTTTATTACTTTTACTAATCCTCTCTACAGCCCCAGTGTTTGTTGATACTCTTAATGCTTCTTGATAGACTACATCACAAGATCTTCCTCCTTCCTGAACCAAAATAAAGGAATTTATTGGTGATCCTACTCTTGAACATCCAACATAAAATTGACTATTGAAAATCAAGGACTTTTCAGATGCAGCCCTGCCACTTTAAGGGTCTCACCTTGTGCTTTGGTTGATATTTTTGACATTTTTAATGAAAGAAATCAAAAATTTCCAAGAAAACTCAAAATAAAATTTCAAGAAAAAAACTCCAAGATAAAAATCTTAGGAACAAAAATTTATCCAAGCCTATGGAATCCTTAGCTAAACAAACATATTTTTGCTGTGTGCGTAATCCAGGTTGGGCGAGGCCGGGTGATAACCATCCTATGACATGCCCCTTGATCCAGTGTATCATCCTACCAAGTGTGGTTGAGATTGGCCCAAAGACCATGGAGTAGTCTGCGGAAAACAAACAAACAGATTTTCTGCTTTTATAAGTATAGATATAATCAAATCAGCTTCAATCGGTAAACAGTTATTTCATTGGTCAGACGTTTAGAATCAGAATAGTAATGCTCTTCATACAGTTATACTTGGGTTCAAAAATGAGTTTATCATTACGTATTTATATAATAGAGTTATTTAAGCATAAATAGAACAAACCGTTAAAGCTGTGCATAAAGAACTGCAGTAGCCATCCCAAAAACGGAAGGACAACAAAAAACTATATGTTCAGTTGCTAATTTCAGTTTAGTAATATACACATGACCCCACCCATTCCTAACATTTTGAAATTTGTTTTGGTATTTTTCACTCTATCTTAATAAGTCAATTACGTCTACAATTCCTTACATATTATTATGTAATTCCTATGATGCATGTTGAAGTATGAAAGACATCTTAAACTTAGAAATAAACGACCCAACAACACCAAAGCTTGTTTTCTGTATTGTTTTATTATGTAATTTGGTACTCTATAATCCGCTTTATAACTTCTTAAGGAGCGTTCCACTAAAACACAATCCGTATCTGACCATACAAAAATTCATGGGAATTACATAGGAAATTCTTATCTGTGTGGTTCTACAGCGAGCTTACTGTTGAATATCTATATTATTCTTTATATAAACCAAATACTCGTATTTAAAACTAAACTTCAAGTGATAGGTTAAATAATAATAGCACCTACTAACAAAATTTAGTTTTATAAGGTCGTTTATTTTATAGAATCGACAAAACATGTATGATTTAATCGTGTGCTCAAAATAACAGGAACGGAGAAATGAGCCACATTTACCAGGATCCTTTCGACGACTGCGAAAGTAAAAGAACAATCAGAAAATTTACGACAGGATAATGTTTTAATTTAGATACATCGAATGAAAAAAACAAAAGAAATTATATTAATCAGTTTTATCTTCACTTAACTTCTGTCATCACACAAACAATAATAAACACGAATTTTGAAAGGTAAATTGTTTTTTTTACAGAATATTTGGGAGATAATTTTGAAATGTTAAAATATTAATAATGAATGTCTTGAATTTTCAACAAGTAACGAGTTTCATTTTTACAGTAAGGAAACTATTTTTCGCCGTTTTTAAATTGATTAGTTAATTGTTGACCCATTATCGAAGCAACTATTATTTATTATCTTAAGATTCTGACAAATAATTCCTGAAATCGTTCTCAGATGTGTGCAGTGTAAAGATTAAATTGAGACGACCCACATTTTTTTATAATATCGTTTCATTTTGTAAGAACCAAGACTGGAATAAAGCGTGTTTCGTTTGAGTAGGATAGATGCATAGTTTACTTTAATGGAGAAGTTTTCTTGGTAAAATTAACTTAAAAAGGTTTAGCAAGTTTTCACCAGCCTTCATTAGAATACCCTCCTTTAATAGCAAACTATAGTTGTTATTACATTCTTGAAAAAGGAGACCACTTTTCTATGTATCAAAACAATTTCACTACTTAGGCCTGTTTTAATTAGAAATCCGAAACTACGCAACATTAGGTAAAAAATTAAAACTATTAAAGTCTGTAATAAAACAACCTGCTGAAGTTTGATATGGCTATAGTATGCTGAATATTTGGGCAGGACGAACAAAGGCTAGAGTATATGATTATTTTCAAAAAGAATATAAGTGGTGTACAAAAACTTTAAGGCGTATTTGCTACAAAAAATCACTGAAACGAGAAGACCTTAAATTATTAATGAACGACGTGAAGTTAGCCAGTGTGACTTCTGATTTTCACTGTGTTTTTATAGAAAATTACACACACACACACATATATTAAATATGACTTTCTTTCTATACTGCTCGTTCTACTTTAACATGTCTTTCAACTACTTTTCGCAGCTGATGCCCAGTAAATTTGATGATTTGAAAATTCTTTAATAAACTTATAATCTTATAATAGCCCATTTTCGACAAGGGTTATAAAACTAACCTATCTCAGGTTTGTAATGGTAAAAGCCGGGTTTCGTTACCAATGGTGAACATAGCGCAGATAGCCCATTGTTTAGCTTTGTGCTTAACGTCAAAACAAATAAACAAAACTAAGTTGAAAAACAACAACAATATTCTAATAATTTATACGTAAAGTGTTCCATCTGACTTCTACTGCCAAATATAAACATGATAATTAGTTACAAGCTCTTGTGGGTTGTTTGCTATTCATAAATACGTTATAATAGAAAATTTGTCCATGTGTGACATATAAGACATTTCTTTTGGCAGTACTTCATCCAAGACAATGTACTGACTAATTCAAAAAATAAGAAATCAGCATAATGGAAGCTAAACGGATTTAAGAATATAGATTAAAGGCCAAAACTGATTATGTTCCCTGACGTAAGCACTTTCTTAGCTGCAGCAGGAGGTGATTGGTTGAACATTCTTGTCAGAAAGAAATAATCTGCTTCTAAATTAATTTTCGCATACTAACGTGTGTTTAGTGTACAAAGAAACCCTAAAACTGTATATTTCATCCAATCATGAATAAGCGACCTAACCAGACATCCAATAAAAGAAGAAGAAATGTGACTTGAAATCGTCAGTATCCTGCCGTCTAAGCAAAGCAGAACTTCCTTTGTGGTTGGCTGCTACAAACTTAGAAGTCCGTCTGGTGCTTTGATAAAGGCTAAAAGTTGCATTTTAAGAGTGTAATCTTTCCCATCAGTGCGCCAGTTTGGGTGAAATTTGAAGTACGTGGAATTTAGGTAAGAATCTAAGTATTACAACCTTTACTTTTTTGTGTGATATATCCATGATTTTGTTTTTAAGATACGTACTGCTCAATAACTGGACGGTTCACTCACTGAAAATATCAATTATAATATTCATGCGCACTGATAAAGAAACTAAACATAAATATATTCTAAATAAACAAACTGTTTTAAATTGGATTGTTTCAGAGTTATTTTTTACTTTATTTTACAGTAGACCAGATGGATGCACAGCCAAAGAGTGAGCCAGCCATTCCGTACACCTCACACATGAAGGGTCCCAAAATCCAGGTCTCAGCAAAGCAGTTAGAAGTCATTGTTGGCATCATAAAGGCCATCATGCAGAAGTCCGAGAAAGCCAAGTTTACGACCAGTAAGTTGGTTGGGGTCCGCAGAGATTTGGTGGTCATCATCAGATAAATGACCATCCCATTTCCCAAAACACAAATAATCCCCAAAATTATCATAGCCACCCCTAAGATACTGTACCACAGGGGATTCATGGGTGGAAAGGCATACCAGTGCTCATGAATCATGTAGAGCATTTCTTTGGGCATTGTGTCCACAACGGAGGCATTGGGTTGGTAAGGCCATCCCAGAGAACTGTAGCTCAGTTGATTAGCCATTACGGTTGTAAGTAATAGCGACTATACGAATTAACCCGGCCATTGAATGAACCTTTATATTAATATGGATAAAATTAAAAGGTCTACTAGTAGAATTAAGTGTATAGTTAGGCGAAGCTGCAGTAAAATGTGGTTGAACAACATATTTGCTAACCTTAGCAAGACGACATTCAGCACTCTGCTTTTGTTGGTCAGCGTTCGCTCTGAGTGAAGCGACGTTCATTTTCTTGGCCTGCTCACGAAGTTGTTTCTCATGTTCAGCTACGGCATGGACGATGAAGAAGTAGCAGTAGATCATAGTGATAAGAGGAAGGAAGTAAACAGCTAATCCGTAGATGATGACGTAAGAAGCGGAGGACCAGTCTTTGGTAAGATAATCTACAGTACAGCTTGTCAAGTTACCCTCGGGAACATACCTGTATCAGATAATTTGATTATTTAAAGTGTTTTCAAAAATTAAAGTTGAATGTATTATTTTTCATACTTTATAAGAAAATTTGAAAATTTTAAATTCTGAATAAAACGAAACAGGACAATTCATTTATGAGTTAAATAAAAACCTAGCCAAGAGATTACATGTCCACTGTATTTGTATTCTTGGGTAATAAAAATGTGGAATCATGCTCTTAAACTGAAACCAATAGAATTTATATATATATTATTAAAAAAGGTTTATTTAATTGCTGTAAAATAAATATTGATTATTTTAACCAACTAATAAACTATCATCACTAATAATGGTGTTTACGTAAGTGTTTGAGTATTTTACAGGTTTCATAAGGTTTGTAAAAGATATTTCTACCTGCTCCATCCGAAGAAAGGCAGGATAGTCCAACCACCTGACCAGATCCAGACAAACAGGAGGAGCAGAGTGGCTTTCTTGTGGGTCAAAGGTGCAGCTGCCATACCTCTAACAATCACGTTGTAGCGGTCTAGTGTTATCATCACCATGGATATTTAGTGGTTTTACATGCTAATCTTTCTGAGTTAGAAAAGTCTATTTCAAACCTTACAACCGGTAATTTATTTTTGAGATTTTCAATCTATTTTTCCTCGACATAATTCGTATGTTTGAGTCGATAACATTTGTTAGTCTTTAGTATGAATTACATTCTTTCACAAATAACATAAAGCTGTACAAACCTTTGGAGACAATATATGTTCGATATTATCATTTGCTTAGCTTCTGGACATAACGAGACTTTCAAAATCCCATATGGTTCACCAATGAGTTAGTTGGTAGTTCTTTAGTTAGAAACAAACCAGTTTCACGCTTGTACTCCACTAAATTTTCTTTAGAACAATCCGTACACAAGATTTTTATGACGAAGCGCTTTATCTTTTAGTAAAAAATTGCCATTCATATTCAATTTTCTGCAGTCATGTCGTGGATAGTTATTTTTGAGTCTATATATCGGTTTATTCTACAATAGTGCCAAGAGAGCTTCTCCCTAAACTCAGTTTCAACATCTAAACAATTTCAAATTACTTTGACATTACACAAAATCATATAACGTAGCGATATTAGAGTAAAATTTTAAAAATCAGATAAAGAGACTTCATCATTAACAATCGTAATATCATTCATTAAGTGCATCACAATTTATATATCATAGAACTATAATTATCACTTTGAAAAAAATAATGATAAACATTACAAATAAAACATGTCGTTAAAACTGTAGAAATATTCTAATGATAATTTCTGATTTAATAAATGAATCAGAGTAACTCAAGCAGATTTGATAAAAAATGGTATCAAACTGAAGTAATTCACTTCAAATTAGTTTATTTGGCATCTATTATCTATGCTTTCGAAATAATCCTGTTATCTATAGGTTGCTATGATGACAGTTGGCCTATGGTTTATGGCCTGGACTCCTTACTTGATCATCTCTTGGGCTGGTGTCTTTTCAAGTGGAACACGTCTCACCCCTCTAGCCACGATTTGGGGTTCTGTGTTTGCTAAGGCAAATTCTTGTTACAACCCCATCGTGTATGGTATCAGTCATCCAAGATACAAGGCTGCCCTCTACCAGAGGTTCCCATCTTTGGCTTGTGGATCAGGTGAATCCGGAAGTGACGTCAAATCAGAAGCTTCTGCTACAACGACGATGGAAGAAAAGCCAAAAAATCCCGAAACATAACTTCTACTCACGTTCTTGGTCGTTGTATTTTTCTTTTTTATTTTGTTTTCTTTGATTTCAATAATTTTATACAGTTGTATGAACACTCTTAAGACAAAGAATAAAATATCCAGCATTATACATTGTGTTTTGTGCTGTTTTTAATTTTGAGAGGGCAGATATTATTTATATTCGAATAATAAAGTGTTATTGTATTCTGTAGTATTAATACAGCATTGTGAATTTCTCTACCTAGATAATATAGGTTCTATGTTGTTAATTTGAATAGTTCGGAATCTTAAGCATTACAACGTCATTTAGAATTCGTGTTTTATTCTTTCTGTAAACAACTGTACACATTTTAATTCTTGAAAACGGTAATCTTTCCAGCATTCTAAGTTGTGTTCTTGCTGTTTTTATTTTGAAAGGAGAGTTTTATTTATATTCAAATAATGTAGTGTCTTTGCATACACGATGAGTTTTCTTTAGTCACTGGTGTTTTATTATATGCAAACATAAAATGACTGGAAGTAACATGTTTTGTTGTTACTTTTATTTTTAACACTGGAACACTTCGAGTGTTAAAATAGCATTGTGAAATTCTCTAGATAGTGAACATGGGTTCTATATTGTTAACTTGCAGTGTCTTCGAAGCATAATCATTACAATGTAATTTATAATACATGTCCTAAGTTTTCCTATTTAATCGTGTTAATTTTTCTTGTCTTGGATAATGGTTCCCGCCCTTGAATGATTATTAACTTCTAAGAATAATTTAATACAACCCGAAATATTTTACCTATTAACTTTTTAATGTAGTTTTGACATCAAAGAAGGACAATTCTGTTTTATAAAATGCTCATTTTTCAACATCGTCTTATCATTGAACTCAGATTTTGCTATTAGTGATAATTAACTAGACACTGGAGTTTTACTTCCTTAGTGTGCGGGTTTTAATTTCCTCAACAAAACATGCTCGTTCAGCATATTCCTTGGTAAAGGAGTATCCCAAGAGTTGGCATTTGGCAGTTGATGATGTTGACTAGCTATCTTACCTCTAGTCCAGTGCTTCCCAAACTTCAGTCATTCGTGTACCACCTTCACGATTTTTACCATATCTGCAAACCACCTGTAATAATATTTATGTTTTACTTAATATTTTTCTTTAAATCGACTTACTTTTCTTATTTAAATAAATTTATTTTAAGAGGAAATTTCATAACACAAGGATGAATGGAAAATCACTTACCATAATATTTATTTCAAAACATTATCTTTCTCATCTCAAAATGACATTGTTATAACAAAGTGGAAAGAACTTCAGAATTTATACTTTACCCCTTAAAAATCTCGTTTTTAACCACTGATCCATGATGGATTCAAAAGAAAAAAATAAAATAAAACAGAATGCAGACACACAATCATGAAATGAGAAACCGTCTAACACTAACGAACATAGTTCTTGGTACGTCATTGCGCATGCTCTCTGAATAGCAGCTTGGCAATGAGAAGATCAGATGACGCGCACGCTCTCTGAATAATAACCTATGTTTAATTGTCGGCAGATAATGTAATAACCGCGTTAAAATATTTTTTTTTCTTAGAATTTTTTTTTTCTGATACACGTTAATATATATATATATAACTACTAAAATAAAAAGTCGTCCGCATACCACATAAAATTATCTCGTGTACCACACTTTGGGAAACATTACTCTAGTCTATCACTTCAAAATTAGGGACGGCTAGCGCAGATAACCAACCCTCAAGTAGCTTTGCATGAACTTCTACAAATAAACAAATATTTACTTACTTATCAGTATGGTATTGCTTTCCTATTAAACACTGTACCATCACTGGCTCCTCATTTCTCTTCTTTTTTGTTATTGGACAACTTCCAACACTGAAGCATTACTGATCACAAACCCACTTTTTTAGGTGTTAAACAATCCTTAATATTGTAAAATAATATTCTGAGTTCATAATGTGAGCATTAATCAATTATACTGAAACTTAAAATGGACAAACTACTACGCTTCTTGTGTTTTCTTTTATTGTATTAGTTTTAAGTCGTTCATTTAGTAAAAATAAATAATAGTCCGAAATGTATTTTGCTGGTAAAAAAAATTACAGGTCGGCGCATCCGACTGTTTTACAACAAATAAGCCTATTTAAATTTTAGAAATAAATATGGAAAAAATAAAAATACAATCAAGCCAAATTAGTATTAATATTTGCTAACTTCGGGTTAGAATGACAAAAAAAATTGTCGTAAAACAAAGAATGTTATTAATTAGATTTATAATAGTACTATGCTCAATGAATATATTAATTTATTTGATGGGAGGTAACCAAAATTGTGAAAAGAGAAACTGTTGTTTTGGTTAATGCATGTGCTCCTATTGCAATAACTTCTTTAATTTTTTGGTGTTACAGTCTTTGTCAATTATTTTTTCATGTTTAAGATCAACATTATGGTTAGGCATGTAATCCAATATCTGAAGAACCTGCGGAAGCTTGTACGGTGTCTCTTTGATATTCTTTCATTCTGATGTTGCCAGAACATTTCTCCAGTATATTATTTTTTGCTTTCAAATGATGTGTTTCATACTACTGTAATGTTTCTTATTTATCAAAACCTTTCTATAGTTTATTTAAAAACGCGTAACACGTAGTGTTACTTATATATCATTCACCTGAATGTTATGCAGCTATTTATTTGTAAACATTGCTTTCGGATTAATGACAGTTCTTCGTCAGTGAAAAAGAATGAATAAACGAACACTGACTTCTAACGTTACTAAAATTTACGTAAAAGCTGAACAATATATTAAAAACCACATTGTATCATATAGAAGTTGATTTTATCATATCAAAACGATTTTGGATCCTTGTCATATCGTTACAGCTCATGTCGTCACGTCTGATCATGCTCTATCATGACGACAATGGTTATGCAGAGTATTTTCCATTGCAAAAGGCTCCATCGTAAGGCAGTCATGTTTAGAAACACTCCCGTTTCCTACACGCTTTCCATAATCCATCTAGTGTATGGTTTCCAAGTACCCGTTTCCAACATTCCAAACCCATAAACATTTACAGGCTATCCATTTGTCAATTGTACATTCTTATGTAAAACATTAATATCCGTCTCATTCACCAGCTATTTGAGGTATGCAATATTTTTAATGGATATTTAGAACTTGATGGCGTTTATGATGTAAAGTGTTACTGCCAACTGTTTGATTGAGATCTGAATTTTGGGACCCTTTATGTGTCAGGTGTACGGGGTAGCTGGTCTATCATTGGCTGTGCATCCATCTGGTCCATGGTAAGGATTACATTGTCCATTACAACATCATTGTTAGAGGTTTTTCAGCTGCACCTTTGGCTCATTCTGTCTGTTTGACTCTAGTCAGGTAGTTGCACATTTTGTTATAGAAAAATACAAACACAAATGGAAAAAAATCGCCTAGTTTGGCTTTTGGTTAACTCTTAAGTTAAATTACATCTTTGTTTTTACTTAATGACTAGATGTTTTTGGTGAATTTCGCGCAAAGCTACTCGAGAGCTATCTGCACCAGCCGTCCCTAATTTTTAGGTGACTAGAAAGAAATCAGCTAGTCAACACTACCATCCATCAACTCTTGGGCTACTCTTTACCAACAAATAGAATGACTGACCGTCATATTACATTGCTCCCACGGTTGAAAGGGCGAGCACGTTCAGTAATGGGATTCGAACCTGCAACCTGCAGATTGCGAGTCGAGTACCCTGATCACAGTCCATGTCAGATCATTATTGGCTATAATGCTTAAGATTTTATAAAAATTGAAAGAGCAAATATTCAATTTCAGTTCTTGAAAACGTAAAAAATAAACAACTTATCTGATACAGGTATATCACCAAAAGTTTCATGGCAAGTTCAACTATGGAACATGTTAACCAAAACTGGTCCACAGATCATCATCTACAGAATAGCTGTTTACTTCCTTCCTCTAATCATTAGGATCTACAGCTATTTCTTCATCATTCATGGCGTAGCCGAGGATGAGAAGCAACTTAGTGAACATTTGAAAAAATATGAACTTCAATCACTTCAGTCCGAGCATACACAGACCAACAAGAGCACAGTTGTTTGTTTTGTAGTTAAGCACAAAGCTACACAAAGGACTATCTATGATCTGCCCACCACGGGTATCGAAACCCGGTTTTTAACGTGGTAAGTCCGCAGACATACCACTGTGGGCCCCAACAGAAGAAGAGTACTCAATGTTGTATTCCTACGGTTAGAAACAAATTATTATTTTTTTTATCTATATAATAACTTTAATGGAAAATTTTGTTGTTTAACGAAACCATTACTATAGTTTGTATATTACTTGTGATATTTTGAATACACTATTTGATCTCGATTAATACTCTTTTTGAATCACAAATTTAAAAAAAATAACATTTATGAAATGACTTTATATTTGAAATAAGGTTACATAAAAATTTACTCTTTCTGGGATATACTTCAACAAAAAATATTATATGCAAATTTTTGGTCTATGATTTATGGCCTGGACTTTCTACTTAACGATCGCTTGGGCTGGTATCTTCTAAGTGGAAAACGTGTCCCCTCTTTACTATCTGCGGTTACGTGTTTGCCATGGCAATTTTATGTCACAAACTCATTGTATATGACACCAGCCATATCAGGTGTAAAGATGTTCTCTTTGTTTCCCCTCTAACTTTAGAGCCGTGATGTCGGAAGTCTCTGCTACAATGATAGTTGAAAAAAAAGTCAATGTTCTGAGACATAAATTCTAAATGTTGAGTGTGTTGCATATTTTAGTTTGAATGGACTGCTTTAACATCGTTTACAGATATTTTATTTTCTCCTAAAGACATTTTTCAATCTGTAAATTATATTTCTTTTCTTTGTTAGATTTTTTTTATCAATAACACGCATTACTTTAACGTTAAGCGATATTTCTGTAAGTGAGAGTTAATATATTTTGTGACATTTAAAGTTATATTTCACTTTGGACTCCATTTTAAGTAAAAAGATGTGATAATTTCAGGTGCACTAATTTTCTTTAGGGTTAATGGATAGGATCCTAGAATTGCTAGTTCGTCAGAAAATGCTCATAAGTGTGAACCTAATCTCAAGGTATCACTCGAGTAATCAGTGGAGCAGATCGCTTTCTACCTTTAAAAGTCCTTTCTAGAGAAAACCCATGTAATACCATAGGAGAAAGGCCCAGGACAATAAGCTTAGGGTGAAAGGTTTGTTTTGGTTTTTTGAATTTCGCGCAGAGCTACACGACGGCTATCTGCGCTAGCCGTCCCTAATTTAGCAGTGTAAGACTAGAGGAAAGTCATCACCACCCACCGCCAACTCTTTGACCAACGAATAATGGGATTGACCGTCACGTTATTGCGCCTCCACGGTTGAAAGGGCGAGTATGTTTGGTAGGACGGGGATTCGAATCCACGACCCTCAGATTACGAGTCGAGCGCCTTAACCACCTGGCCTGGGTGAAAAAAACTTAGCTACATCCTTGACTAAAGCTTTATGCTTACGCTAAATCTACATACACATATATGTACGTAAACTGTTCTGTTAAGCACACTACGCAGGCATGTATGGGGTTGTCTATCTCATTTATTTAGAGAAGCCAACTTTTAAGTTTCACCTAAAGTTTCGTAAATACAAGTATACATGGTTTTAAAATAAAACATTGGCTAAGGACTGTGCGTAAGTTATATTTGCTTAATTTAGCTACAGTTCTGAATCATTACTTTATAGTACCAAGTTCACTTTTTCATGGGAAAGATTTTTGTAAGCTAGAACACATTATGTAAATGTAGAGAGCGATCTTTTCCACTGGCGGGACATCTCTTATTTTCCTATAGTAATAACCGACAATGATGTCGGTAACGCACGCCTCCCGAGATGGATTGCATTATAGAATCTTGTATATAATGTTCTATCAGTTTTTACTCTCTTTCTCTCAAACTAAAGCTCTCAGTCTGGTAAGAAAAAGTTTAATTCTTTGTTTAACTAGCAAAATGCTTTCCTAAGCTGAACAAGTAAAATTAACTACTTCTTAGAAGAATTAACAATGTAATAAACCCAATATATCTCGTCTTGTACATTAGTCAATTATATTAAATATTAATTGTTGAATAAAGACTTTTTTTTTACTGTGCTTCTAGTCTCTTTCTCTACTCTAAACTTACTCACAGCCATTATTTGTATTTTGTTTTCATGGCAATGCTCTAAGGTAATTTCTAGTATATCTGCCGACGTCCTTATTTTTGAACTTCTGGTAAGTAGCCATTCAGCAGCACATTACCATTCATCAATTGTGCTAAAAACTTGACTGTAACTTTTATAATTATAATGCACTCACAATTTAAAATGCGAGAAATATTTTGTGTCATCGCACATAT